CCAACGCGCGAATTTTAAATTCACAAGAAAATGTCTACAGTTCGGCCCTACCTGACCACAGATCGTCCTCGATCTGATTGTACAAATAGGATCGTTAACATCATAAGAACATAAATTCATAAAGATCATAAATCATAAAACATAAATGCATAAAGACATAAATTCATAACATCATAAGTTCATAAAAACATAAGGTCACATAACATTTCACATAAGACATAAAGGTAAGTATCATCTATCAGTAAACTTTTACATAAATTTTTTAAGTTTACGATATCTGACAATGAACATAATTCATAAATTCATAAGGTAAGTAATCTGTTTGAATTACTAACTTTTCTCATAAACATAAATGCAAAAAATATATTTAAATACAAAATATCAAAATCTAATCTGTGCTTAACCATAATTTCATATTTTCAGTACTAAAAATTCCTTTGAAGGGTCTCTGAGTAAGTTGGAAATCTTCTATATCGGTAATTAAATATCTGTCATTATCAAGAACTTGTTTAATTTCATAAGGTCCTTTATATTTTGGGATTAACTTCTTATTAACATTGGGTGTAACATCGAAATTTTTAACCATAACAAAATCTCCAATTTTATAATGATAAGGGACTTTATGAGATTTGTCAAATTGTTTTTTGTTATAATTTTGAACTTTCAGGTTTTGATTCTGTGCTTCCTCTCTCATAGATTCTAAATCTCGCTCCATATCATTTTGTAACTCAACATAATTTCTCAGATAATCATTTCGATCTCTCTGATTAACACCAAATAATAATACAGAAGGAGTTTGCTTAGTGGATCTACAAATACTGTTATTGATAGCAAATTCGACCAAAGGTAAATTTTGTGTCCATTTACTCTTAAATTCCGTTAATTTAGATAACATAGGGGTTAAATCTCTATTAATTCTTTCGATTTGACCATTAGCTCTTGGAGTGGCCGTTGCTATTTTTATATGTTCAATATCATTTTTGTTCATAAAATTCTCAAAGTCATTACTAGTAAACGCGGTTCCTCTATCCGATACAATTCTAACGGGTTTACTATAACAAGTAAAGTATTCCTGTAATTTGTGAATAACTTCAACAGATTTAGTAGATTTTACATCATACAATTTAACAAACTTAGTAAATGCATCAATAATCTCAAATATATATTTTTTCCCTGTAGGTGACTTTTCTAATGGGCCATAATGATCTATGTGCAAAGTTATGAAGGGCTTATCTCCTTTTGCAATGTTATGCAAGGTTCCTTCCTTTTTACCTGAATTAGATGAGTATGTTATGCATTTAATACAATTTTTTATGTACTTTATTACTTTTTGTTTCAGCTCTGGAAACCAATAGGATCTGGAAATATACTCAACAGTTTTATCAATACCTAAGTGACCTAAATGATCGTGACAATTTTGGATAATTTGATTTTCCATAAGATGGGGGACATAAAAATATATTTTATCTTTTATTTTCTTATAGACTAAACCGTTCCTAAGCTCGAAATTTTTATTTTCCCTAATCATCAACTGTTCTTTAAGGATCTTAATATTTTCATCTAAGTTTTGTGCAATTGATAAATTTTGTTCAAATGGGTTTTCTTCTAATATCAAAATACTCGTCGCCCTACTAAGAGCATCAACGTGTGCCATTCGCTTGCTAGCTCTATGTTCTATTTCATAATCATAACCCTGAAGATACATAGCCCACCTTGAAATTCTTGGATTAATATGTTGTTTGCTAAGAGTTAGTCTAAAACTATCACAGTCAGTGACTATCTTAAATTTAATCCCTGATAAAGAAATATGTAATCGCTTTATAGCATAGACTACACATAAAGTCTCTAACTCGAAACTATGATAGCGACTCTCAGTTGGTGTTGCTCGCTGACTGAAAAAGAAAACTGGTTTAAACTTTCCATCTTTTTGCTTTTGAACCATAATCGCACCGTACCCTACTGCACTGGCATCACAGTGTAGCTGAGTTTCCAAAAGTGGTGAATAAACAGCTAAAACCGGATAGGCTGACAAACATTGTTTAAGTCTTTCAAATGCTGCCAATTCTTCAGACTCAAATTTAAAAGTAGCATTTTTTCTAACTAGAGCGTATAACGGTTTTGCGATGACAGAAAAGTTTTGAACAAATTTCCTAAAATAACTCGCGAGGCCGATAAATCGATGTACCTCTTTTATTGTTTTCGGAACGGGATAGTTTAATATTGCATTGATGTTACTAACCCCTGGTTGAATACCTTTTTCACTGACAATATAACCAAGATAACTAATTTTGTTTTGCATGAATAAGCATTTATCAAGGCGTAATTTTAATTTATATTGTCTTAATAACCTAAAAACTTCAGATAAAATTTCAAAATGTTCAGTTTCGTTCTCGGTCGCTAATAAAATATCATCAATGTAAAGTAGAATTTTATTTTTCCTAATTAAAGGTTCAAATATGAAATGTGTAAATTGTTGAAAAACTNTTAATCAAGAATTATTACGCGAAACTTAGATCGACTCTGCATCGTCCCACTTAATCACAATTACAAAACAATGAAAAAATAAAAAAATTCTGTTAATTTCAATTCAATATTAGTTGTCAAAAAAAAGATAATAAAAATTTTCCAATACACCCCGATAGTTAAGCAAACCAAACTCATATGTTGTTGTTATTTTGATTACAGTTTTGGGAACGAAAATTGAGAGGTTTCGACACTTTAACAATTATATTATAATCGTAAATTATCTACTTTCTCGGTGTGAGCTATTTATGATTAGACAAAACTAAATATATAAATTCAATCCCTAAACTGATCGTTTTGATACACGAGTCATTTATTTAAAATTTGTTTTTCTTCCTAGCAAAATAAAAATACTCAATTAAATCATAAAAGTAAAAAGTAAGATATCAAAAGTCACAATTTAAGTTTAGAAGTGGAAATTTTGTGTTGAATTCAAATAAACTTTTTAAAAATTGATGCTTACTCAATACAATTTGCTGAGGCGCCCACCGAACCAATTTCACATTATCGGGTTTTCCGGGTAGATCATCGCCTTCGAATTTCCAAACAACCTTGTAAGGTATCTCCTTGAACGCTTGTACAATGGCTGTCAGAGTGTCATGATTGAGCTCCTTGCTCCTTACGTTGCTCCCGAGACTAAAATAAATGAATCCTTCCTTGGCATTGTCCATAAAGTCTTTGAGGTCCTGAAAAAAATTCGAAAGTGAAAACAAAATTGTAATGAACAAATAATATGTCTGGCGATTTCGCCTTTACATGTTTTTATTTAAAAATAGAGAGAATATGAACGGGAACAAACTTTTTAGGTGCCATGGTTTTGAACAAAGCAATTACTGGTATCACTGTTCTTTTATCAAGTATAAGAGCAGGTAATAAAATTTGTACATTTCTTTAAACACTGCAACATGTTTTGTACGTCAGAGTTTTTGATACTATTATGCATCAATTGTTAAATTAAAAGAATCAAGTCATGAGAAGGCGGATCTTTCTGCACTAGTTTGTAGTAAATATTTTTTTAAAGAAAAAAATGTGAGAATAATGTAACGATTAAGTGAAATCATGTGTAAAGTAAATCTATTATTATAATTTTTATTCAGCGCTAGATGCAATACAGACGAAAATTTCTTTAGTTCCTAGATAGTAGATTTATTCAATAACACTGGCCAACAAATTTTTTTTTTGGTTTGTAGGTTAGACCTATAATTTTTAATAAATTTTGAAGTGCTGAAAAAAAATTCGAAGAGTAAAATAATTTTCATAGTTTAGAACTTTTGTAATCGCAGGGACAAGTCTCTTCTACAGGGTGTTAGAAGTTTGATTGCCTTAATTTTGACAGACGATAGAATACATTAAAAAAAAAAACAATAAAAAACTTATTTATATGATATGGGTCCTAAACGCAAATATTTCCGAGAAAAAAATTATCAAAATCTCCAACTTGATGTACATACAAAAGTTCGATTAATTAAGGGATATTGACAACTGCGCTCATAGAATACCATGAAATACATCGTTTTTTTAAACTTGCTTATTTCTAAAAAATTATTAGCGTTGTAATAAATTTAAAATTCATATTGGGCGAAGTGACAACGGCGCGCCGGTTTATTAACACAAGGTATAAGGTGTCCAGCAACCACCAATACGCAATTCGTTGATATCTGGAATCGACCGTGTTGGAGTGTTTTTTGCGTACCACTATTTCCGTTTGATTAGAAGATGTCGTGGACATTTTAAGCATATGTTGTAGTTTGTTTTGTACTTGTGCGTTTAAAAATTACTGAATTTTGCTTTCTGGTAAGTACTTAAATTATTTTTAATACGTATAATTATTTGGACGACGTGAATCTTTGGGTACTTTAATTACAAATTTTTCAGATACATAATTTGATTAAAAGTTAAGTTCCTGTTTAAGATTCATAATTACTAAAATTCCAGCTAAAATTTAAGCACATTATCTTCGTACTTCAAAATCGATACATTTTATTTTATTTTTTTTTAAAACTGGAAAAAAATTGTCTTGAAAATCTTGAAATATACTAAATGTTTCACAATAATAGTTGTTTACATTTTTTCCATAAGACAAGTCTGCCGCGTGCACACGTGGTATCCATCTGCAGGTTAAGCGTTGTTGTCACGTTGTGATGAAACTCCCCAATATTAATACTTGCTGTCTTTTGAAAACTTTAATCTTACGTCCCTGTAATATACAAGTTTTTGTTCATTTATGATTACTCCATTTCATGCTGAAGTAATGGTATTCAAATTTCTTACACCCTGTATATTGAATATGCAGTTATCTCAATACTACCTTTGGTAAACATAAAGAATACCGAATCTATCCCGATTTTAACTTAGATTTCCTATGTGTTTTTGGGCACTAATCACGAATCCGATGTCCAAACTTGGCGGACGGCCAAAACACAAATATATTGGAAAAAGAAGCGTAAGGTGTGTTTTCATTTCTGGGCGCTCAACATAAATCCGATTTGAAGGGCAACAACTCAATTCCATTGAAAAATCTCATGCGTAGTGTTTTTCAAGAATAACCTAACTTGACCTAACTAGTGCCGACCTACGCATGCCGCAATCCTTTGGAAGGGTTTTAACCCTTCCTAAGAGTCCTACCGAGTTTTTACCACGGTCAGCCACAAATCTTGGTTGGAACTAGTTAGGTTAGGCTATTCTTAAAAAACACTACTTATCATCTAGGTTAAAATCAGGATAGAGTCGATATGTTCATATTTACCAAAGGTAGTATTGAAATAACCATATTCAATACAGAAGAAGTTTGTCCTTGCGATTACAAAAAAACTAAACCATAAAAATTTACTCTTCAAATTTGGTTTCAGCACATCAAAATCTATAAGAAATGATAGATCTGAGAAATTTTTGTCGGCTTGTATAATCGTTTATGATGACTGTAAAATAATTGCAAATTATTTTAACAATACATACAATAGATACATTATTCCTTTCCAGATAGATAATAGACTTGTCTCTGCAGTAAATTTCTGATAGCTTGCAAATTGTCTTTATTACACTGGCGCAGTTGTGGACTAGTTACTAACGGTTGTGGATTTTGTACTGCAAGAACGATTGTTTAGTTTGAGTTTAACATTTTACACAGAAATTTGAAATAAGGATAACAAACTGATAACAGAGAAGAAATAGAAATTTGTTAATCTCAGATCTGCCACTGACTATCTTGGAGTAACAGTTTTTTACTTTTTTATTTTTGCAGATTATGAGAGTGGGATTATTTTAATTAACAATATTGCCATGAGAGTTATGATTTTAGTCCAAATGATCAATATTTTTTATTTGATATCATTCCCAAATTCGTGCCTTCTATCCATAATTAGTAGTAATTAGAAAAAAAGTTTGATCGTCAGCAAACAGTTTGATGATAGTTTTAATTCTTATTAACACCAAACTTCTGGTCACAGTTTGAGATTTATACTGCAGAAACGGTAATTTACTATGCGCATGCTCCATTCAATTGGAAATTATAAAATAAAGACTGCTGCAGAAATAAACTTTATATATCAGTAGACATCGGAAACTTTGTGGCGACAATCAAATAAATAAACAGTAATAAGCGATATTATTCTAGTAAGCATTATCCGCGATAATTTTTAAGATGCAAGCGCACCAAGCGGCGAAAGCAGTAAGCTCCGAGAAAAGGTAATTTTGACATTGTCGTTCGCGTTTACTCATTCATTTGAACAACATTTGTCTTATTTGCCATTATTATTAGTAATTTTGTTATCTAACTGTGGTTTTTTGACTTTTGTGTTATTTTATAGGTTTCAAATATTTCATAAATAAATTTTAAGGCAAGTATTTATGTCTACTTTATTTGTCTCTAGCGTTACAATTTAATGTACATTTTATTAAGTTATAACTATGAACTTATCCGTTGTGGAATACATTTCCTATTTACATATATGCCAACGAAAACTCTCGTTGTATATCAGAAGGAGAGGCAGTTTTTAAGGCTGATCATGTGGTACTATATGGGAAAATTGGGCAAAGTTATGTAGTAATAATAATGATGGGTAAACATAAAATGTCGGTTGGTTATTCTTAAACAACTTCATTCTCCTTTTTGCAAAACACTAGCGAACAGAAAAACACAAACGCCATCTTCCCTATCTCTTCTTCCTCTTCTTCTTGACCATTCCAACCACACACCCATGGAGACTTCCCAACGCGCGAATTTTAAATTCACAAGAAAATGTCTACAGTTCGGCCCTACCTGACCACAGATCGTCCTCGATCTGATTGTACAAATAGGATCGTTAACATCATAAGAACATAAATTCATAAAGATCATAAATCATAAAACATAAATGCATAAAGACATAAATTCATAACATCATAAGTTCATAAAAACATAAGGTCACATAACATTTCACATAAGACATAAAGGTAAGTATCATCTATCAGTAAACTTTTACATAAATTTTTTAAGTTTACGATATCTGACAATGAACATAATTCATAAATTCATAAGGTAAGTAATCTGTTTGAATTACTAACTTTTCTCATAAAATAAATGCAAAAAATATATTTAAATACAAAATATCAAAATCTAATCTGTGCTTAACCATAATTTCATATTTTCAGTACTAAAAATTCCTTTGAAGGGTCTCTGAGTAAGTTGGAAATCTTCTATATCGAAATATCTGTCATTATCAAGAACTTGTTTAATTTCATAAGGTCCTTTATATTTTGGGATTAACTTCTTATTAACATTGGGTGTAACATCGAAATTTTTAACCATAACAAAATCTCCAATTTTATAATGATAAGGGACTTTATGAGATTTGTCAAATTGTTTTTTGTTATAATTTTGAACTTTCAGGTTTTGATTCTGTGCTTCCTCTCTCATGGATTCTAAATCTCGCTCCATATCATTTTGTAACTCAACATAATTTCTCAGATAATCATTTCGATCTCTCTGATTAACACCAAATAATAATACAGAAGGAGTTTGCTTAGTGGATCTACAAATACTGTTATTGATAGCAAATTCGACCAAAGGTAAATTTTGTGTCCATTTACTCTTAAATTCCGTTAATTTAGATAACATAGGGGTTAAATCTCTATTAATTCTTTCGATTTGACCATTAGCTCTTGGACTAGCCGTTGCTATTTTTATATGTTCAATATCATTTTTGTTCATAAAATTCTCAAAGTCATTACTAGTAAACGCGGTTCCTCTATCCGATACAATTCTAACGGGTTTACTATAACAAGTAAAGTATTCCTGTAATTTGTGAATAACTTCAACAGATTTAGTAGATTTTACATCATACAATTTAACAAACTTAGTAAATGCATCAATAATCTCAAATATATATTTTTTCCCTGTAGGTGACTTTTCTAATGGGCCATAATGATNTCTATCGGCAATAATATTTTGAAAATTTCTTCATTGGTGTGATGAAAACTTAATTCTGGATTTTTCTTGGACCTTGAACTGAACAATAATAGTTTGACAGTTTCTTCTTTCTAACCATAATTGCTGAAATTCTCCTCACACTATTTTCTTAAAATAACAGTGTTCAAAAAACGAACACTAAATACAGTTTTAAATACGAAATGTCACACACAGAAGATATGTTTACCTTGTTTCGCTAGTATCACTTGTCACCGCCAGAGGGCGAGCTCTTAGCTGCATTCGCGAATAGTAGTGGAAACAGGCTAAATCTGTAGTCAAGCCGTGTGCCGCTCTATATTCACAATACACGATGCTACGGACTGCTATAAAGCAACTGCCATACACTCGACCAAGCAAAGCGTCAAGCTCACTCATAAACGACAATGAAATGCACGGCCATCCCTTAATAAAAAACCTGGATTATTCCCCGGTACGACAGGGCAGGCATTAGGGTACCGTAGATACGGATCGAATAAATTGATTGATGGGAAGCTTCATATTAGAGGCAGATATGTACATGTTATTTATAATACAATGACACCGATAGTGGGATTACTAAACTGCGAATTAGTTGATCCTTCGCCACTTAGGGCAAGAAATTATTATTTGGTTAATTTTTGCTGGTACTCATTATTACATGTATTGTTGTGAAATAATAATTTTTGCCAAAGTTGTGTTTGTTTGTGTTGTGTGTTGGGTTCTTTGTTTTGTTTGTGTAAATATTTTTTTTTATGTTGGTTAGCTGCTAATTGTTAAATACAATCCTTTCTTTGACTCACCGTGTACTTTACCTTTTCCTTTGCCAGCTGATGTTAGATGCTTGTTTTATTATTAGTGATCTCAGGAGTCGGTTCTATTAATTTTAATACACAAACAAGTACAATGCAACACACCAAAAAAATAGACATTAAACTTTAATACAATCTTCGAAAAAATGTTGTGGGTTGACTTAAAACTTGCAACTTGTAACTCAAATTATCAATATCTTCCTTAGCAATAATAAAGAATATTTTATTAATATTGTTGTCTTTTCTAATCTAATACAATTAAATACAATACAAGGATTGTTTTTAATTCATGAAGAATTTTACTTTATTAGCAATTAATTTAAACTATTAATTTTTGAATACGTCTCTTTGTATTGCATTTTGCCTATCTTACAGGGGCATGATTTCTTATTTACTGACAGAAAATTCAACTCTAATTAAACATGGCTGTCCCTATTGATAAATTGGTTCGAGCTCGTGGAATTTGTGAAGTTTTTAGAAATATGATTGTTTGGCTTGTATTTATTTTTATTCGGGTAAGTTCTATAGTTTATTCTGCATCATTTTTCTTAGGTTTGATGCGATAGAAAAGTAGTATTAATAGGTTATAGCTATCTGTTTTGTTTATAGTGTACTTTATTTTTATTTTAGGTACCTGGTATTTGCTAACTTGAAACTTCCCTTGTTGGAAACTACACTGATGTCCTGCATACCATTTATAGGGCCACTGGAAACCTCTATGGACTGCTTACAACTGGTAACGGAAATTTTCTTTTTGATGGCAAATTTCTTTCGTGTGGTTTTGAGAACAAACAAACTAACTTTTAACTGGTTAACTTTTCTGGTAAGTTTAATTTTCTTACATGACTATTTCTTTCTTGTTCAAGTTTAAATTTATTGGAGGTGTCTCTCTACTCTGTATTTTCCAAAAACCCAAGCCGTAACCAATCAATAAACTTTTGTTTTTCATCCTTTCTGGATTATTCTGGTCCTATTTTTACTTAAGGTCCCTTCACAGAATTTTCAGTCCTTGGATGTTCTTTTTTAACAACACTTTTTCACTACACTCCTTATGACTAATACAATTTTTTACAAATGTCCTTTTATTTTAGCACACAATTCTATAACTAATTATTAAAATATTCTTTATTTTATGTTTTTTATAGGTCATCTCAAGGTACTTGTAAAGCCAACTTTGACATTTGTGAAAATTATAATTTAATTTGACAATTGATAAAAAATGTCATACTATGACCTAAGTTCAATTGAGATATCTTCTATGCAGTTACTCGTCTTCCCAGGATATGCATACCAGATTCATCTATAGATTTTGAGCTTTTATTTGATATACGTTGCTCTAGGTTTAAATTCTGTTTTCTCAATATATTGAGTGTTAACAAGTGTCGATGTCATACATTTTTTTTGAAAAATTTATTTTGTACTTGTGAATTAAATTAAAATTATTAATTTTATACTATGTGATATCTTTAATTGTTACTTACTTTATATTCAGAATATTTATATTAACAATTTTATACTATTTTGTGGTTGCTATAATAATAGTTAATTTTTATATATGACCCAAAGTTCGGTCAGGTAATTTTTCATTCGTGATTCTTTGTGTACCTTTCCAATTCGTTACAATATATTTTATGTCAAGTTCCATGTAAAGCGTTTAATGTAGAAAAATAGACATTGCCTCTTTTGTTGCAAGCTATTATGCAAATAGGTACTTAAATAAATATTCTTATAAGTTATAAGAAGGCAACGATTGTGTCGTTTTTACAACCAACCCTGTACTACAATGCAGGCGCTTTAACATTTCTGATCTATGTATACCTATCAGACACTTATTATGCTTACTACTATGTTATTACAAAATTATATGCTGCAGCGCATTGTGGAAAATTTTTGTATATCTTGCAAAAATACTACTATATTAACAAATTGTATAAATAAAATTAAAATATGCAATTAATTATTATCTAATATAATTATGATTGAGATATTATTAACAAATTATGACATGATTCTCTTGAGGTCATCTGAAAATTTCATTCCTTAGATAAAATGTTACTGATGAACTATTGAACAAATAGTGTTACATTGAATCAAAATTTGTTCCTTTGTCAATTTTATCTCATATTAGAACAATTTTATTGAATAATAAAACTCAAATTAATTAGCGAATGAAATCAAAAGCTAATAATAAACACTCAACAATCAATAAAATCGAATCAAGGTCGAGTCCTTTAAAGATATTAAGACAAATTATTTCTAAATTTTCTTATCAATAAAAAAAATTATAAATTATTTTCTATTGTCCGAAGTTATTATTATATATAGTTTATTTGTTATTTTATTTTTTATTTAAGGTATTTTTCTACTTGTGAAAGAATGAAAATTAAGTAAACAAACATTTGCTTAAAAATTATTAGTCAAAAATTAATATTATGCTGTTTTTTTCCAGTGTAAGTTTTTTGGTTATGCAAAAATAGTTTCAGAAAAACAATTCTCGATCGATTCAAATAAACAGAGAAAAAAATTCTTCTAAATATAATAAGTACATATGTTAAAAAAAATAATTCCATAGATAAGCTAGGAATTCATTAATCTAAAATTAAAAAAAATCTATCCACACATATAAAACTAATTAAGAAACGTATAATTGAAATTATTAAACAATGTTGCTATCTTTCAAAGGAATTGTCGCATATTCTTGTTTCCAATAGTGGAGAATGACCTACTTGAAATTCAGCCAAGATATATTATATAACATATTTCTGCATTAGAAGGACAGATCTTCAAGGAATTTCATATTAAAATTATAGATATCTGAATGTTAATAAATATTATATATAAAACCGCAAAACTTAAAACAAAATTTAGTGTCCAGTGGTAGTCTTCAAAGCTAATAGAAATTTCATAATTTCAATATATCGGGTGTTTCTTTTGTTTCATTAGTACCTATTTTAAATATAAATAACTGACCAACTTCTCTCTATAAAATTATGTTTTAGCATAACTAGATATTGTTTGGTGCCAAGGCGTAGTAAGAGTTTGAAATATTTCAGAGGACGATTCTTTATATATTTTATCGTAGTTTAATATCTTAATAACGGAATGTTTTTTTTTTCTCAAACTTTGAATAATTGAAAATCGTGTTCTTATGAAAACTAAAATTTAATCTTCACCACAAGCGTTCTTGTAGGCAAAAAATAAGAATATGCATCCTGAAATTTATCCGTTCATCATCCGATAAAAGATGCCCGTTAAAATACAATTATTGAAAATAATATAATAACTCGTGATTTCTAAATAAAAATATTCTCTAGAACTATGCTTCAAATGAAGAAATGTTGAGACATCTTATGTCAAGTAACGAACAAAGATTACAAGAAACTCAAAATATGTATATGGCGTACATGTTTTGTTATAATAATTACCTACAGGCACGCCCCTGATTTGTGCTCATATATTAATATGAACTTTTTTAATAAAATAATGTGAATAATCATGTTAAATATAGAAACACTCTGTATAGATATATCTTTGTTTAATCAGAATGTTTTCTAAACGATTTCATTTAGCTTTACTTTTAAAGTAATGACAGTATTTGATTTAAACGAAATAATTTGAGAAATTTACTTAATTAATCACTCAAAATAATGCACCTCACATGAACGTGACTTTCATTATTCAGGGTGTTTCATAATGATGTGCAAGTATTTTAAGGAGGTGTTTCAAAAGTAATTTTGGGGGGGGTGTACTTCCAATACATTTTTCCGATCGATTTGAGAAATGGGAAGAGTAAAAAATGTTTCTAAACGAAATGTAGTATTAAAAGCTATTTTTCTTATTGAAATTAGCTAACGTAGAAAAAAGTTGGGAGAGAAATAAAACCAAGGGGTGCTAATTTCTTTCATTCAAAGACATAAACCAGAAAAAAAATGCCATTCAACTAGTTGTTAACGTGTACCAAAATTCAAATTTCTAAATTTAACCGTTTTCGTGGAAAAAAATTAAAACTAAATTTTTCGACCATTTTGAGATTTGAATATTTTCTCTGGGAGGGGGCTCAAATAAAAAAAAATATATTGGAAGTACCACCGCTCCCCCCTAAAATTACTTTCTAAACATATCCTTAAAATATTTGCACATCATTATGAAACACCCTGTATATTCTTTATTACCTTAGTCAAAGGTCTCTTCGGAACAATATTCCTCTCCATTCCAATGTTAATGGTAGTTGGCCCAATTGCTCTAGCATCCTGGATAACTGGATTTACATCCAAGAACATCATATCGACATCACTGATGAGACTCTCCAATTTAAGGGACATATTTGTAAAATATTTGTCTATGATCCTCTGCTTTCCCGGTAGAACATAAAACGTTTCAAATAGTGACACGTAAACGGAGTAAATCGTACTTATTACTCTTTCCCTGAACGTCAGTTTTCCATGGAAAGGAGTCGCGTAATCAGTATGAAGAATCGGATGGGCTGGATTACCCATGGCATGTTGGAACAGAGTATGCCCGTCCACAGATGTAGTTAAAACAGTGGGGCAATTATAAAGTTTTCCAAAAGCCAAAAACTCTGCGTAGTAAGACTCAACGAAAACCACGTCGAAGTTGAAATTGTTCCTCTTGTGGATCAACTCCTGCACTTTCGGATTGGATAGTTGCTCCTCAGCTGCATCCGAATTGATTTGTGCGAAGATATCGTACCAGTTCCACATATTCAATATATTTTCCGCCGTCTTGCTGATTTGGTACTTATGTGTCACTATCTGGAAAGCATTGCTGGTATCGATTTCCGTCAGGTTTATCAAGGTAGGGTCTCTGTGCGGAACTGTGGTCATCAAGGTAACGTGGTGGCCTCTCAACGACAATTCCTTCCATATTTGCGCGAATGCTATCTGGTGACTGTAGAATGGCGCTGGTACAAGTGCCAAAATATTCCCACAACTTGCAACCGATGCAACAGATAACACACACAACGCACTCCACCACATGTTACCCGATCTAATGACAAAAATGCCTAACAGTGGTCGAATTTATTACAGATGTCAAACATTTATATGTTAAAAATACTGAGTGGGTGAAAAATACCCGCTAATGATTGTGCTGGCTACGGGAAATATTTGCAACGTTAATTTTAACACTGGGTACATTGCATCGTCAAAGACCTCACACGAGCAGATATGTGTTTTGGGCAATTGGCGCGCATGTTTCTTTAAACGATGGTTTATTTCTTTTGTCAGAATAAGTTGATAAGAGCTATTTAAATGACCTATTAACCTTCCAGTTTTTTGCCTGCTGTACCTCCTTTACTACTTTATGTACTATTTCTTTGACCAAAATAGTAATTGATGTTATTAGACGTCAGCTGACTATATTGTGTTTTTTGAATGTTTATTTTGATGCTCTAACTTTCTCTATCAATTGTAACAATTTTCTACATCCATTTCGAAGTGGCAAAATGGTAAAGTAATAATACCTCATTTCTTTTAAAAAAATACTGAAAATCTATAAGATATTTTTCTTAATTTAGTAAGTATTGAGACGTTTTAGTGTAACTAATTAAGTAATCAATTCAGTAATGGGAAAATAAATATAAAAGAAAAATGTTTATTCCTTGCTTGCAGAAACATTATTATCTCCATTTAATTTAATCCCATAAATTGATAAAGTTGCAACATTAACAGGGTCCATTCTTAATTATTGACATAAGACAGTCTAGATTGTCCGCTGCCAGAAGACATTGTAGTCGACTGTTGTTACTGTTATATATAATAAAGTCAAAAATGTAATAAGTAATGATGACCAACGTTAGAATTTGTAGACAAATGTCATCTTTACTTTAATCTTAAGCTTTAAGCTATCGTAACTTGTAAAAATACTGGTTATTTTAATATCAATTAAATTCTTCATTTCTCACATCTCAAATCATCTCCCACTTTTAGGATATATTTGGGTAGGGATGAACGATTGAAATATTATTATTATTATTATATCATATGCATTTCTGTTAGGCGATGTCTCGAACAGGATCCAACCATTGACATAACTTTTAACCTTTTCAGCGATTAACCTAAACACGCATCTATTTGAAGTTTTATCTTATATTGTAACGTTTACAGAGGTTATCACAATGTCACACATTGGCTTTTACTAAAATATGTAGGTACATCTCTCAAAATAATCGCGGGTTTCGTTTGTTTACGTAAACACCATCGACTATTTTGGAATTTGATTCATTACAAATAAGTGTATTATTCAAGGTCGCTTGACATAAAAGTTTGGGGGCAAAGGTAACTTGGAGACAATCAGTGAAATAAATATTTTTACACTGATTACTCATAAGATCATCTCGGTAATGGAGAAAGTTAATGAAGAAAAGATTTATTTATTTTTAAAATATTTTGACACTCATTTGTTTTATATGGTAGCGATACAAAGTTAAATTATTTTAATACAACATGCTCTATGATGTGTATTTTTGAACTAGTAAGTAGAGACAAAGAGAACGCACATTAATTCTCATAAGTGGATTTTAGCGACCACTTCAATTTTGAAAAAATATGCATTATATAAAGGGTATTCCACCTTAGAGGGATTCTTCTATAACTCTATAACTGTCAAATTTATAAAAATATAGTTTTTTAGCTTTACAGGGTGTTCCATTTCGCGTGAGCGCTACATAACTTTGTTATTTTAAACGGAACACCCTGTATATTATTGCGTTTTTGAATTCCTTGGTTAATACTAGGTAAAGTTTATTAAATGTAGATGGTGTTTAAAACTTACCGTTTTCGAGATAATCAGTTGTTTTTGAAAAAAAAAATCACGATTTCAACTCTCTAAATGTGGCTAGATAGCGTCTAAACCATAATAGTTAGAAACCTGCAGTTTTCACTGTTCGTTTTGGTATAAATTACTCTTTGTCATCTGTGAGCAAAACGTATACGTTGCGAATTGAAAAACTTTTTTTTTTCAAACGAAATGATCCGTATTAATTGTCATGGGTGAATGCAAAATTGAATGACCTTTCGACTGATATAAGGTTGTCCATACTTATTTCTAACAGTTTTCCAGAAAAATCATGTGCTTTTCTAAAGTCCAAATTAGTAGCTATGTAACAGCATCAAGAAGGCCTTGCAATTGTATTAGTACAACGTCGATACATAGGATTTTACAAAAGGACAGCACAGCACAATTCTTATCGCATTATAACAAGAGTTACTAAAAGTAGACTTTTAGTGAGCACTTGAGATGTTAAATCAAGATGATGATTTTTTTAAACGAATCATGTTCTCCGATGAGGCTACTTTTCATAAAAATGGGTTCATTAATAGTCGTAATTGCCATTATTATGACATAGTCTTTGAATGTGTGAGGAGGAGTTTTGGGAACCCATGTCAGCGCATTACAGTAGCATTTCAAGAAATTACGCCAGACATGCTGACCAATGTTGTTTAAAAACCGAATTCGTTTGTGTATTAATCAACATCTGTACACCAGAGCCAGACTATGTTAAGTCCAAACACTCAATTTTTCAGTAGAGCAGTTTTAGTGAATTAATTTTATATATTTTCAAATTATAAAACACCCTTTACGACAATTCGGGTCGTAGTTTATATTTGAAATAGTTGTAAGTATTAAAACAAGGAACATAATACCAGTTTTAGCTGTTTGCGTCTGTTTTTTGTTTTTGTGACAACATAGTTTTGCATAGACAAAAAAGTTAACGAAAGGATTTAATATACATATTGAATCCAAAAAGATGGATTTGACATAATTCTAATGGACATAACATGTATAGGAGAAAAGAGATATTTTTTGATGAAATCATTTACTCATTAATTATAAAGGAAATGTAACATTAAGAGTTTGGTTCCTAGTAATACAAAAAAATATACATATTTTTCATTTATTCATCTTCGTCTCTTCCATACTCTAAATTTTTATAACAGTCATGGAATCTTCTTGGTACCCACTTTAAAAACTTTTGTAAGTGGTTATACTTTGTCGCTGAAATTGGTTTATTCTTTTCTCTAATAGGTGAAAGAGATATATGAATGCAGTCATTTCGCCTAGTTTCTCTGTTGAAGTCGACTTCTAAAAAATCATTACCAAAATCTGTTTTGTAATATAGAATTCCAGGATTACTTTTTCTAACTTGCATATGAACTACCTGAGAACTGTTTTGAGGATATTCAGGTAAAGCAGTCTTTCGGATTTTCACTTCTACATTTGACAATTTCTGGAAAAAGCCATTTTTATGTCAATGCTTCAGGGTACGAATAATAAATCTGTATGGTGATAATGACAATGGTATTAAAATGAAAAAAAAAAAAACGCACACAAATTACAGTTACAGTCAAATATACCAAATGCTACTGTGCTGAGGATTTGGTTAAATAATGGAAAATATTGCCTAACGCTAAAAAATTATTAAGTTTCTGCGTTAAAAGAATGACAAAGAAAGGTAAAAAAATTAATTTAATGGTTGTAAAAATAATCCAAAAATTTTAAACAAGCTGAAAAATAACTCAAAATGGGACAATCTTTTTTCAGTTTTTAGAAGACATTTCGTGAGGTGTAAGGTGTTTTATGGAAAAAATAATGTCTTTTCAGTATTTAGTTTTCTCTTTTGGATGACATTAACAAAAATGTATTAAGTCGCATTTTTTATATAATGCTTGTGCTAAACTATGCTAAGTCCAGTCATTTACGAAATTTTTCTCATTTTCATTGGTTAAATTATGATATGGTCCATAATTTAAAACAAATTGATAATTACTTCTACTTGCTATTTGCTATTAATATTTTACAAACTTACCTGTTGTTTTTGTGCTGGAGGCTTCTGTAGGTGAAACATTTTCGTCGTTTTGTGCAAATTCGTGTACTAAATTTTGTAACATTTTCTTCGTTCTAGAAGACCACGGAATAGAAGTTGAAGACATACCTTTTTAAAAATAGCCAACTGATATTTAAACAAATACACACCAAATATATTTTAACTACGCGTGAGGTATATGTTCACACATGGACTTAACATGTCAAACTGAACATACACCCAGAGGCTAATAAAGTTATAGTGACTTAACTTAGTTTGCTCTTAAGGAATCTGTGGAATTAACATAGTCCATAATGCGCTATTTTCTTTAACTTCAGATATACGCTAAAACGAAAACTACCAAAAGATGCGTCAGAACTTAACATACTTAGTCAAAATACTACAGATTTGGACTTAACATAGTCTGGCTCTGGGGTACAGACATGGAGAACACTTCGAGCAATTGATGTAAATTAGCGGTCTAAGTATTCTTCCCCTTGTTGTGTTTGTTTCGTTTTGCGTTTTGTTTTATTTGGTGTTAGTGGTTTACTTTTGTTTGTGAAACCACTTTTTAAACATGCCAGTAAATATTGACACTGTCACTCCCAGGCGTGATAAAATTTGAGAGAAAAGTGGTTTTGCAAGGCCTTCTTGATGCTGTTACATAGCTACTAATTTGGACTTTAGAAAAGCACATGATTTTTCTGGAAAACTGTTAGAAATAAGTATGGACAACCTTATATCAGTCGAAAGGTCATTCAATTTTGCATTCACCCATGACAATTAATACGGATCATTTCGTTTGAAAAAAAAAAGTTTTTCAATTCGCAACGTACACGTTTTGCTCACAGATGACAAGATAGAGTAATTTGCAGGTTTCTAACTTTTACGGTTTAGATGCCTCATTTAGAGCTGAAATCGTGATTTTTTTTCAAAAACAACTGAATATCTCGAAAACGGTAAGTTTTAATAACCATGTCCATTTAATAAACTCTACCTAAAATTAACCAAGGAATTCAAAAATGCAATAATATACAGGGTATTCCAATCGAAATAACAAAGTTATGTAGCGGCCACGCGAAATGGAACACCATGTAAAGCTAAAAATATTCTCGTCACATGGCCCACATAATTCCAGACAACTTTTATTCAAACCATTTTTTTATAAATTTTACAGTTGCAGAGTTACAGAAG